CGACAGCGTCATCATACATACACAGGTGTATATCCAAAGATGGAGAAAGGTGGAGAGTTGTTAAGCAGAAGCTAAATCACCACACGAGCAGGCTTAACCTAGCAGAGCCAGTCAGCGAAACAGCATCTGTTCTGCAAACAGCCCACCCAGTTGCAGCCAAGATCCTTGTCTGGTACCCCGGAGCTAACAATCTCTGAATTCACTCCCAGGTCAGGAAATGCTAAGCTGCTTGCAGATGAAAAGCTTTAGAGTGTCTGTCACCTTTTCTTCCAAATACATAACAAATTTGCAGCATTAACAAGTTCATAGAGCTAAATTAAGAGCAAATTTTACTTATATAAAGGTCTTAAAATTACCCAAACTGACACATGCTTTCTATTACTAACATACATCAAGCTCAGAACAACAAGGTTATTTAAAAATACTTTATTTACAAGACATTCAAAGTTCATTTTGAAAAAAAAAATATAACTGTACATAAAACTCGAAGTAATTTTTCACTCATAGTTAATAAAAGCACAGTGAGATTTACAATTCATTGATTCACCAATCATGGAAATTACATTTTGGCCCATAAATTAAATCACACAAGGAACAGAAAAACCTAGAGGAAATTTTTGAGCAACACAACTCCATAACTGTAACAACTTTATACAGCGACATCCTCATATCAAGATATCACTGTTCAAATAAAGTATTTAACATAGAAAGTGCTTCCACTGTACAACAGAGCAAGTAGTAGAACCTATATAAATCTTCCCAGCATTTGGATTGTCTTTTCATAAATGTCCCTTTTACCTGCTTTCCAACCAGTGATCCAAGCTTTCCCCCAAGGTGTTAATGAATGACTAATGAACCCTAGTGATTTCATTATACCTTCTCAGGTTTAAAAAACAGCTTTCTTTAAAAAGTTCATTGAGGTGGTTTATAAAGAATTTTAAAATATATAAATATATATATTTATATCTCAGGATGACTACTTAGTCAACACTTCTACACAGATCACAGGGCATTGGAGTAGCCATCAACAGACCTTGGGTGGTGAACTTCACTTCAGGGAAAATTTGGATGCCAGCATACTCCCTTCAAAGTTCCAAATAAAAGGCAGCATTCAGGACAGCAAGTGTTATAATCAGGTAGAGGTGAGGGGAAAGAACAGGAAGAACTAAACACGATCCAAAAGTTGTTTGCAATGGTAAATTGTATCACGCAACAGAACCAGAAAGTGGGTGAATATGAATTAAATGAAGTGCAAAAATTAAACCAGTGCATAGAAGAGGTATTTCTAAACTGTATTATAGGTACACCACCATGGCCAGAAGACTAGCAAAATCATACTGTTTTTACTGAAGAGACGAAGAACAAGAAAAACATTAAGAGGAAAAAAACGATGGTTGCACTACAACTCAAAATACATGTCGCGACGAACAGAAGGAGAAGGAAGTCAGCTGCAAATTTGGCGAAACAAAGGCAATACTCCCCAAAACAGCATCAGTTACTTTTCTTTACATAGAAAAGCAAAGGCAAGATCTGCATTTAGAAAGTTACAGAAGAAGGAAAAATTAAATATCAAATTGACATGTTTGGTTAAAGGATATCATATGAAAAGATGACAAAACCAAATGGAATTCACTTTAAAGAAAAAGCCCAGAACTGATGAAGGCCAGTAAATTGCTTTTGCACTCAATGCCATGTCAATTTATTCCAGATTTCACTCTTGTTTCAAAACTATCTGCCAAGGCTAGCAAACGTTTCGCTGTTGTGCAACTAGGTCCCATGTGTGACTGGTTATGGATCAGAGGGCCACATTAGCTGGACATTCAGTTGAAAATTGCCTGTGTTTTAAGCAGATTTCCTTTGCTACAGACAGTGATGGACAGATGGGGGCAACAACTGCAAGAGGAATTGAGTATCATAATGGTGCCATCAGAAGGGAGTAATTGAAGAGGATGGGCTAGCACAATCAGCCTGCCATCATCAGAAATTTTACATTACTGAATTTGAGGGAGAAAAATGCAATTAAGCTAAAGAGGCCAGAAAAGAGATTTTTCAACAGTGCAATATGCTACAAAACTGAATTTAGAACAAGTGCCCATGGACAAGGGCAAATGCTGAAATCCACTGTATTTCAAAATGAGGTACGCTTACTTCAAGAGAATTAGAAGAGATATGCCAAGAACTGAAGGGAAATCAGCCAACACAAAATACACGCTGACTGGAATGAAGTCTTCTACAGAAGTAGAGAGGGGCCACCCAGCAGAGCCTAGTTGTGACACACTTAAAACAGAGAAGAAATATATTTTTTCCAGGACTCAAAGGAAAATAAGGATACTAGGTCAGAAACCTTAGCTGGATACCCTGAAAGTCCCTACGCAGAAGGAAAAAAACAAGGTTCACCTCATAAATAACATAGCTCTGTTGGTTTTGCTTGCTTAAGTAGTAAAGCAAATTTTAAATCTGCTTGCTTTCCAGACCTGAAGATTTCTATAATCCCTGTTATTTTCCTATTTATTCACAGGCAACAATTACACTACATTCAACCAGACAAGAAGAACGTTTAAGAATGCTACTTCATTGTATTTGCAAGTTACAACACTTCAAAAATTAAAAAATAGATAATCACAGTTTTATAAAACACTGGATGAATAAAGAAAAAGATGGTCCATTTTGTCAAATGCTTCAACATTACACACGCCAGTTTTCTCTAATTCCAGAGTAAACAATACTGCCATTCCATCTTTCAACCATTTAATAAAATGCATACATAGAAAGAATTACCTGATTTAAGACACAAATGCATAATCATGAAAGGGTGCTTATTTTAGAGGATACCTGGGAAGCAAGTTCTCCCATAGACTTTGTTGCTATTTTGGGAGCTTTCTATTCCAGTTCTCAAAAACCCTATAAATATATTTGTTATTTACATCTAAACCCTGACATTTAAACATCATCACAGATGAAAACAAGGACAGAAAAAGAACAGAAGAAAGGGCTGCCTTACTTTATGCCACATACTTTTAAAAGACAGAGCAATACTTAACGTTTCCCAATTTACATTAATTTGTGCAATAACTCCCAAGCCAGATCCTGCTGCTTTCACCTTGGCTGCTGACAACAGAATCAGACAGACTGGAGGATCAAGCTTTTAATTACACTAATACATAATTTAATTTATATAATACAATCCTACGACGAAAGGCTGTAAAATGTACTAATTCACCCAAGAATCTGTTCAAAAGGGGTAACTACAAATCTAGAAATGTACTATTTAGACTACAATCACTGCTTCAGTAAATACTGTTTTCCAAGCAGCAAAACGGCCTGCTGTGTGTTTTAACATTCATTGACTTAATGTGATTGTCCTTATTAATAAGGAATTGGCTGCTTTCTCACCAGCCTTACAAGGAGGTCCTGGTATGTTCCCAGCCCAGGCAGGAAGTCAGTTTTCCCTTTCTGTTAAGGTGTCACTGAGGTAAAGACACCGCTATTTTATAGAGGTGTCCCCACAAATAAATTAATAAAATAGCCTGTCCAGGCCACAGAGACCACTGGAAGGCTGCTTTTGACAGCAAAATTTATTTGAAAGCTTCTGGATCTGGTCTGTATAGCCGGTGAGGCTAAGCACTACACACAGTGTGGATTAGATAGTGGGTCTCCTCTCCAAGAAACCTGGAGAACAGACCTGACCACCAATCCAGCACTGGTGACCGGGCACATCATCTTCTTTTCCTTAGAGCACCTCCCATGCCTTAAAAAAAGGCAAGCAGCAAAAAGATAAAGGAATTGCTTCACTAAATACACATTGCAATACACCTTTGGGCAGGGGGAGGAGGAGCAGGGCAGAGGGGAGGGCTTAGAACTTTAAAACAAACCAACACAAAATAATTGGGACTAAACCAGGAAAAATTCCCTGCAATTTTTTTTTAAAGCTCCCTCTAAGTGACAATACTGCATATAAAACTTCAAAGGGACTTTCTTGATGAATATAATGTTAAATTATGCCTTAATAATAGAACTGCAGAATTTTAACTGTTCATAATAAACTCATTAGCTTATTTATTCAGCATGAATAATGACAGACACTCAGTGTTAAAGATACTGCAATCGTCCCGCACAATGATGAATTAAGACGGTGGCTATTATAACTTCTGTTGTCAGGAGGAAAAAAAAATAAAAATAAAAAAGACTGAGTTGTACAATCACAACAGTGAACAAGATAAAAGTTAACTGGATGACTGCCTGCGTTTCCATTTGCTAGAATCAGTACAGACAACATTAGTAAGTATTTCTTTGCTTTCATAACAAGAAATCTATTCCTTAGCACACTTATCTGAGATTAGGCTAGGACTCCAGTATTACTAGTAGAGAAGCAAGACTGGCTTCTACTCTGTCCCCAAATACAGGAGTCAATCAAGAAAACAATGCAAGTCAAAATTCCTGAGTGCTTCCCCTCCCCCTTAGACGCTCTGAATTTCATTCACAGACTCCACTGGCCAGAAGCACAAGCATCACTGTTAAACATGAACTGTCTATGCCAAAATGGGTTTTAAGGATCAGTAAAGCAACTCTACTGAAGTCCTCTACAAATATACAGTACCTCAGCCCAGTATGGTCATTAACAGGCCACAGGGCTTTCAGGCAACACCTCACCACTTCAGCAGCAAAGGCCAGAGTTTCATTCCCAGTGCCACTGGCCATTAACCGCAAGCATCAGTGCAGACAGCAACACAGCCCATCCGCTCTAACACCAGAAATTCACTCATAGTTTGGTAAGGAACTGGGTTAGGCTGTATCAGAAAAATCTTAGATGAATGCAACACCCTTCATGGAAATATTATTCCTTTTTTCAGATACAAGGGGGGTTTAGGCATATTTTGGTTTACAGCTAAAGCACAGAAATCTTTTTGCCACACCAACTTCAGCTACAACCACCGATGACCCCCTTCCCAGCCAGGATACATTTGTTCTATGAAAACACAACGCAGAGTACAGGGAATTGCCTAAAGTCGTGTACTGCTCAACTGTGATTTGTAACCAGACACATCACAATTTTTCACATTTTTACTGCTATCCTCTGCCAATGGGGGCTCAATGGGGATTTCAATATCATTTTTACTTGAACCATTGTCTTTATGCAGCGCAGAAAGGCAACTATTGTTTTTCTCAGTACTGCCATTAGTTTTAGCCAGGGGGTTCTCCCGCTGACTGCAGCACAGCTGAGAGTCACAAGCTTTTGAGATGCAGGGCGAGCTGCACAGTAGCTGGGAGGTCTTGCGGTCAATGTACTCCGGCTGGATGGTCACAGAATGGATCCCTGCTTCATGGAAAACCTTCCGTATTTTATAAGCAGCATCTTGGTAATCAGTAGGGGTTTGGCACTTGATATGAAGAGTAGCAATGTTCTTCCCACCTGCAAGCTCCCAGACGTGCACCTCATGAAGGCTGCTAACCCCTGGTACACGAGATAGGCTGTCAGCTGGAAGACATAAGAGAAGGATATTAGAGGCTTTGGTGTACTGGTTAATTACTAGCTTTCCCATTAAGAGCCCTATATGAAAGCAGCAGTCTCCAAACTACCGTTTTAAGAGAGCTGTACTTAGTAAATATGTCTATTCCCAGCTGCCTTGGGTTCAGTCTCCGGATGACCACACGAGCTGGCCACCCTTGCTTTTGGGTTCACCCATCCCTCGTGCTCCCCAATGGCAATTCACCAGCCGTTGCAGAAGCAACACTAGAGCACCACTTCCTCGGCCAAGACCCCACATCTCTGGTTTGTTTAATCCCCGAGTGTGGTGGAATTCCAGAAACAATCAGTGCTACTCCACAATTAACCACTGTGAACAACGCCAGAGAGCTACAAAATTAACCAACCTTAATGGAAATTTCTAAGTTGTTTTGGAAGCCTTTCGGAAGCAGCTGCTGCAGTGCTGGGAAATACTGTAATTCAATGTTGTTTCTTTCATAAACACCCCACACCAAGCATTAACAGCTCAAGGGCTGGTATTTTTGATGTATTGTTGGAGTACCACATTCTCAAACTGCATGCTTTAACTAATCCAGAGAGATTTGAGTCATGTTGCTAGGACACAGGCATGTGACTATTTCTCACGGTTCTTGAGAATTTAGAGCTATTATGAGTAAATAATCCAAACATGTCATTCCAGAAATAACATATGCATTAAAATATATCACTAAAACTAACAGCACTTCAACAACAAGCTTGACTTACTCAGTAGTCGCATATTAACACCTTTGGGAACCATCTGCAACAAAATAGTTGAGGTCTCTTTGATAAGCGGGAATGCAGAGGACAAGATGATGAACACCATAATGATTGTCAGGCTTGGATCGATGTAGCACTGCCAATTACACGGAGCATCCCCCAGAGGAAGCACATGGAAGATTGCAGCAGCAACTACCACGACTACAGATCCAAGTGCATCTCCCATAACATGCAAAAGAACACCTGAAACAAATGGCACAATTTCCATTAGTGGGTTGTTTGTTTGTTGGGGGTTTTATTTTTTTTGGGGGGGGAGAGTAGTGCTGCATTTTCAAGTCTGCTCTACTTAACATGAAAAACACAATATTCCAAGCACTAACATCATAACCAAAGTTTTCAATAACAGCTTTCAGAATGAAACAGCAAGGTAAATACTGAGTGAACCACAGCTGCTTAAGTTGGGATGCATTATTAAACGTGTAGGGTTATGCTAGCAACTGCGGTCCAACTGCAATGCCATGGCAACGTAAAGTGTGTTTGCTTAAATGCGTGCAGATTATTAAGAGATCCTGGCACATCAAATCTCAAATCTCACTTAAAAACTGATGACTAAATCTATCTGTTCCACCCTGGAAGCTGAGAGCCCCAGACCACCCCCAGTAACAGTTACTCTCCTCCATCAGCTTCTATGACACTGCTGAAATAAGTGAAACCTAAGCCCATTCCTATGGCTCCAAACGCCCTCAAACTCCAATTTTCAGATCAAGCTTGATTACTAGTCATATTTAACTTTGTCCCACCAACACCACTAGCCCTCAGACCCCCCCAGAACAGAATCTGGTCTAAGTCATTCACATGGACACCATGGTTTCATATGTGCCTGGGCTACTAAATCCAGAGGAATGCTGGGTACCACTTTTCACATCTACAGGGATGTTTTTGCAGAAAAGGTAAAGACACAAAACAGGCTCTTACAACAACACATTTTTTATCTGCCCTTTCAATTGTAATGAACAAAGTAGTCTTCCTGCTATAAAGTCACAATAATCTAAGAACTCCTTTTAACTTCCTTTTTTTTCCCCCCACTATTTCAGATAATCTTCCCTCTTCCCGTCATTGCTCAAATGCCCTCCCATTTTGTCAGTCTCTACTGTTGGGGGTCAGATTTCCTTCGAAACCCATGATTAATTCATAATGTCTCTAAATATACGAAATTAATTTGTCAATTCTTCATTGTTTGGATCCTGTGAGAGAATAAAACAGACCGTCTCCTTTTAGCATCTCTATGACAAGCACTCTCGAGAGCTTCCCTCCAGTTTAATCACTTCCTCACGGATGGAGAAGCTGCAAAAGGCTCCCTCCGAAACTCATCAGCACAGCAAAGAGTTTTGACTCTTCAGTGATGCTGGAGCAGACCTAGAGCCATGCCTGTGCTACAGCGTCTGGCCAGCTCTGCGTGTGAGCACTGATCTTCTGTGCAACAAATGAAGGCAATAACCACTGGAGTTCCTCTGAATCACTTGGGTCAGACAAGAAAGTACAAGCTTCCAGCGAGTCCAGCTCTTTCTGCTGGAGTCAGGGGTGCTTCGCCCCATTTGGCAGGCTCCCACAGGGTTTTACTCCTCCTAACAGTGTTGCAGTGTTTCCCTTTCATTCACAAAATAATCCTGATTCAGCGCTGGCTATCAGCTATTGCACTAACAAGAGGGACAGGCAGGATGCAATTGCCAAGGCAACTAACTAGAGAGCACAGCTTAAAAAGAACTGGCAAATGTTTCAGAAAGTTGTCTTTTGAATTAAGCAAGTATTCAGGATTTTGATAAATTATGAATTGAGAATGCAAAATTTGGAAAATGCTTATTTTATGCTACTATCATCATTAATATGTACCGCTTGGTTACGCATCACATAATGAGGGCCTAGACATAAGTGAACCCATTTCCCTATCGCTCCCCAAAAACTATAGGTACAAGACAGAACCGAAAATGAATTTTTGTTAAATAAAGTCAGTATGGTAAGACGATAGGTAACGCAGAGTTTCCAACAGATTGTGCTGGAAAGTCTGAACTACTCTGCATATGCTCAAGAAGCAAAGGGAATAATTTTACACTACAACAATTAATCCTGCCAGGCAGAATATATGGATTCCTGTTCCTCCCACTCTTGAAATCAAGGAAGCTGTTCCTCTGCCAATCCATTTTGTCCAGCCATATTTTTCAGGGAGGCTCTGATTCGATAATGTACACAATATTTTGCCAAGTGATTATGAAGTAAGTATAGCTATGTAATTAACTTCAAAGGAAAAACACAGATTTTGAATCAGAATTTTAAAGACACATATCTGTAGCATTGGCTACAGAAGCAAGGAATATTTGTAAGGACAATAAAAACAGATTTTGCAAAGATAACATACTAAAGTAGCACTTAAAGAAAAATTCTCTTTTTGAAAATCAAAGATGACAGGTTTTTAAAAAAAAATTGACACAAAACTCCTTATAATTCTGACATTTTTGGAAGTTTCCAGCATCACTATGCCTAAACACTATCCTTCAGGCAAGTAAGGCCTTCTCTAAAATATACTCATCGGTTTCTCACAATTCTCTCCTCCATCCCTCACAGTGACAGTTTGCTTTTCGTGCTTCAATAATCCTACCACTATAATGCCATAATATCCAGTGACACTGATTTCTAGACATTCAGGAAAATGTTGTGGCTCCAGCACATGGTTTGATTTCCAAAGTGTCCTCCCTTACAGACACATCTGCACAACTCTGAAAATGCTTTTGCAAGACAGGTAGACAGACACACACCAGAGAAAAAACAAAAAGCCTCAGCTGGCTCAGGTGCCTGCCTGCCATGTCGACCTCTTAAGCTGAACTCCTGCCAGTGTACACGACTTTGGAGGAACATCAGACGCCGACCAGTGACCGTAAGAAGCCTGAAACTACCATTCTGCTTCAGCTTTCTGACAGCACTTTCCCTGGGGACAGACTCGGTGTTTAATGTACTCGGAGACATCTCCTTTTGGCTCTGCTCAGAATAGGTACATAAACGTGTATGCATATAAACGCCTGCACAGAGAGGGGCAGAGACACTTGGTTAATCTATCCCTAGAAGCGGCTATACTGTCTCACTCCACAGATAACGCGGGGACCTGCCGCATTACGTGAGATCCTGTCACAGGCTCTCTCAGGAACAGGTTCACAGTTCAAAGACCTGGACAAACACTGTGCTGAAAGCACCAGTTTCAGCACCATTTTCCTTGTGCTGACACTAAAGCATTATCAACCTCGGGATTTAAAGAAATGCTGTTCCCTTCCCAAACGCATTTGGAAGCTGAAAACTGCTCAACTACTGCAGCAGTGACGCTCCAAGCAGTACCTCATCGCTGCCCACTTTACCTTCCTGCAAGGCCTCTAGCGACTTGAGCTTTGCCCCCGTCCCAAAAAAGCTCAGCTGCACTCTTCTAAAGAGCTAAAACCAAGATGTGAGCACACTCGGAACCAAACCAACCTCACACTACTTTGCTATTGTCCCTGCTATTTTCTACAACCAAAACCTTTCTGCTAAAGATAACTGGGTCCATACACACAGAAGAGTTGTGGGCTTCTGCTCCATTTCTTACTGGCATTTGGAAAAAACAAAAAAATCTGAAAGGGAAACCAGAAAGTGTTTAAAGTTCGTCTAATATTAGCAGTATACTGCCATGCTGTACCTCTGATGTTCAAGGCTTCAGACTTTTTCTCTTGTTTCTTCTCAAACCCCTCTTCAGGGCTTTTTTGGTCGTTTGGTGAATCACCTGCATTCAAAGAAGAAACGCTGTGTTGTGTATAAGTTCTACAAACAGAAAAAACATCAACCTTCTCAAAACCAACTCATTTCAAAGACGACAAGAATTACCAAGCAAGAGCAAACCAAACCATTTCCCGTGCAGCTCAGCAAGGCCTCCCTCCTCGCTCCCGAGGGGCCACCCAGCAGCCCGGTGTAAAGTGCAAGGCGAGAGAGGCGGCGGCGGGGACCCGAGCGCGGTGACGGCGGCTCCCCGGGGCCCACAGGCCGGGTCCCGGGGACAG